ACGTCTTGCCCGAATCGCGTTCGCTGTTATTTTGGCTCGTGCTCGAGCTAACTTGCTCGCGCTGCACAGTCAACGTGACATTTAGAAAGCGGCAAGGAACGTTGTTGCGAGAACAGCCTCCACCCCTCTCTCTCTCTCTCATCACCTCTCACCTCCACCCGTCCCTCTTCTTCTCGTGCTCCCTCACTGTTCCCGCCCGCCCCTGCCCCCAGCCTGTAGTTATCTTTCTCTTGTTCTGTCTCCCTCCTCCCCCCCCCTCCCCTTTTCTCTCGCTCCCAGTTCTCCATTAAAAAAACATAACGGCATCTCTAAACCATATGCGTGTAATTTTACCCCATTTTGATCAAGACTTGCCCACCTCCCTCCGCCGTTCCCCCCTCCTCGTGCTCCCAACAAATTGGCAGCAGCAAATCAACCCCCGGAGCTCCGTTGGGGGTAAAGCCATTGCTCTGATTTGATTTGTTATTTAGACTCCCCAATGAATGAAGGTGGGGCTTGCTTTTATCAGGTTATAGGTGAATCGGAGGGACGTTTGTAACAAAATGTTCGAGGCTGCCCACGGATTTGAATACAGTTACTCGCAGGCTGTCCCCAGACACCGCTCGGAGCTGTTAATTACAACAATCCATATTTCATTTTTAAATGCAAGACATCTGGATAGGCTAGCTTGAGAGGTTTCTCCCACCAGTCTTCATCATCCCGTTATCTATCCAGTGCTGGGTGAGGGCCTCCACAAGCTTTCTGCCACCTCTCGCGATCCTAGATCCTGCGACGTAATAATCCACCCCGCGCCTACCCATGAACTGATTCCATCGCTCCGTCTCTTGGATACACGTGCCCATCGGACGCGGCTTGTCATCTTGTCCCGCTCCCCTTCTCATCGGACGCGGCGTGACCTTGCCCCACTCACCCTTCTCACGCCTATATTGGTACGTTCGTGGCAATTAGACATTTTTGTAACACAAAATTGCAAACTGTTTCATTTAGGCCTCTGTTTTGGAGAGCTCGAATGACTGCATCGATTTATACCGAGTCAAAGGCATTCTCATATACGACAGCGATGGGAACAATGGTGGTTTTAAATGAGTCGGGTTGGTTCGTGAACGTCTCAATGGTAGAGAAACCTTTCCTAAACCTTGCTTGCACCCGTGGTGGAGTTGGCCTCTAACTTGTTTTCCAGTCATCTTCCTTGAACAATTTTTACACGTGCGATAAGCAGATGATGGGTGTTTAAGCCAGTTTTATCTCCCTTTTGTGAATAGAAGAACAGCTTGAGGCATCATTTAACGAATGCCATATTTATTTTCCCCGTCAACGTTACGTGAACAAGTCTGCTAATTTGACACGTAGGCTATCGCGACCAATATCATCCGACAGCCTGATGGAGCTAGTTGTAATTTCTGGTGAAACGTACTCGGATTGTAAATGTTGTGGCTTGGTTCTCCAACACACCGGTTAGTGCTGTACTAGTGACGAATTGGCACGTTCTGTTTACGTGGCAACCCTTACTAGTTGGCTGTGTCGGGTGGTGGTGGGTTTTAACGACACATTTATATATTTACGCGATCTAACTCAAAAACTTCTATTATGGAAGTCTGCTAATGTTGTCCCAGCAGTTGGTCCCGCATCTTTGATGATGTCCACAGTTTCACGATCCGGCCTAGGAGCCGTTCCCGTGTTGCATTCAACGAAGGGCAGAGTTGACCTCTCCAAATGTGGCGCCTGGAACCTCCTCTTCATCAGAAAATGTTTTATTCCTGGGTTGTTATATACTATAGAGATCTGAATACAACCTATCTGCACTCATGTTTGACCATACTTCACCACGCCAGCCCTCTGCAGGTTATTGAAGAAAACGCGCATTGTCTTGCCTCCTGCCGAGTACCTCATGGGTGTCTATCGAGTGTTCTATAGCTCCTTGTGTCTTCTTTCTCTCGGCTATTAATACTTGCAAGTTGTTGATAACGTGCTTACATTCTGTCGCATATAGTCGACAATTCCAGAAAAGATCCTGACATTTTCATCACGCGTCCTTAAGATATTTCAGCGATTATAATTTGGTTTAGTATTCTAAAAAAGTACCTTTAAAAAAACATTCTAAAGTTATTTTTTTTAGCACATTATTATGTTTTCAACCAAATGGCATTTCTTACATCCTGTCAAATACTGCATACCTAATGTTTTCATTACCAATACAGTGCATAATGAGTTCATGTACCTAGCTGATGCTGTCTGCAGTGCCACCCCTCCGACTCCCACCCCTGCATGTCACACGACCACGACAGCCACAAATGCGGTGCAAAGACATTTAACGTTATTCAAGTTTTGAAGAGAGAAAAAAACGTAGGCAATGTTCTGTTCTGTTTCAAGCATGTCGGTCTATTCGGCTGGATCTGAAGAGTGAAGGATGATAGCTGCGTGTTGGCCAGGTCCGAATTTGAAGTGGATATTCAGTGTACTGCTTGTTTGTTTGTTTATGCATCAATCTTCCCACGTGACAATCTGACCAAGTCCTGGGAGAGCGCTTCATTGTTGTACGCCTACGCTCTTCATACTCCTTTAGCGTGTGTGAGGAGTGCTTTTGCGCCTTTGGGAATCCCAGCAGGACCTTTTCGACAAGGAACTTGTGGTTATTTTTTTTAATCATTTCACATTTGCGTTATTTAAAAAAGAAAGTCGTATTTTTGTTTTGCATTTTTACGTTCGGTTGTGTAAGACTTCGCTCTGGGAGCGGTGTCCGAGGGACTTTTTGCGCCGCGCATGATTCTAGTCCCACTGTATGTAGCCAACCGTGCTATCATTGGTAAATGGGTTTGAGTGTGGTCCCTAGATCGACTCGGATGAAACTGAATGCTTGGTGTTGACGCTGCCTGGTTTTTCATACCAACTTTTATAGGTGTTCACTATCAGCACTTGCCCCGTAAATCTATCCAGGTTAAAAGGGTGCCTTTGTGAGCGCTTGATTTCACGTCTTTTTGTTCATGTGTGAGTTGGGCGGGTGTGTGAAACGAAATCCTGTACCTCCGTTGCGGAATGGTGGCCCCAATAATTATTATATTCACGGAAATTATATTGATTTGAGGAATTGCAGACTTGTGAGCCTCTTGGCAAATGTTTAGGAATTGTTCGTGAAGGCTGGGGAACAAAATAATGCTCAATTTAATGGCCAACTTCAACCACAAGGGAAAGCCAATTTTGGAAAATGTCTACCATTGACGTTTAAAGAAAGACAATATGGAAAGACCATGAGATGCCGCAAGCTTTTGTAAGCTAAGAAAAGACGATTTGATTCCGAGGACGCTGACGCAACCATCGAAGCTTGCAGATGTGGAAGCTGCTCTATATTTGGAGTTTGCATGTCCTCTCCCCACGGTCGCGTGGATTTTTCTCCGGGTCCTCCGGTTTTTCCCTCCACATTTAGAATCAACGTCACACGTTTGGAGTATTTGGCTGCAATAAATTTCCGCGTGATAAGCCACTTGGTTGATCATGAAAAAGAGCTAGCTCAGTGGGTCTTACTTGGTTAAAAACAATTGTTTAGTTTATAGTTTAATGTGCGTGCACAAGTGGGGAATGGTAGTTTATTGGTTAGTGTACTGCACTATGAACACGGTTATCCGAGTTTGATTTCCGCTTACGACCAACCACAATGGTAAATATTTATACCGGTTCTGGCCTTCCCCTCGGTCTGTTCAGCCTTAAATGAGTTGCTGGTGCGGTGTGTAAGCATAAGCAATGGGGAGACAAAGACGGCCGGGCGTGGTGCTGGCCACTCACCCGCATTGTGAGCCGTGCCGGCCTTCACAGGTTATGCTCGCTAACAGCACTTGCCCCAGCGGTTTGTTAAAGGCTATACGGAGGGATCTTTGGCACCTGACTATGACCACGTGTGTTTCTACGTAAGGCTACTACGTGTTACTGGGGAGGTTCCCAACCTTGGCTTGTCGTTTACCCCCATAATAGTTGGCGTAGCTCTACCAGCACTTGCATTCGATATTTTAACAATTTTTCATACTGATGTAGAGGAGTACTGCGGGGACCCAATGAGGGGGCAACCGCGGGAAGGGGTCCAAGCAGAAAGGGGAGTGCCAGAAGGCAGAGGGAGAGGAGGGTAAGGAGTAGAAAAAGACCCCAGGTAAAAGGGAGGATCCCGGGCTAAGGGGATAAAAGGGGAACCTTGGCAGAAGGGGAGAGTGGGAGAGGGGAGTCGGAGAGAGAGAGGAGCCAGGTAGCAGGGAGAAAGGCTCCTGGGCCGGAGAGACAAAGGAGGCTACAAGTGAATGAGTACGGGGTAGCCCGGACGAAGGTCGAGGGAGTCAGGAGAGAGGGCGACAGTCAGGGAGTAGGGGGTACTCGAGACAGAAGAGGAGTGTGCGGATGTCGGCGTGAATAAACAGCAAGCAGCCCTGAACATTCTACCCTGGTCTGAATCTGTAATCACGAAGCACGACTCTACACTGGACAGACGCATGTGCATGTATAAGCCATAAACAAAGGGACAAAGACCCCCCCCCCCCCATAGCCTCAACAGACTGTTGAGGTAGGTGCTGTTAGCGAGCACACCTACTGCAAATAAGGAAAAATAAAAAATAAAAATATTTCTCTTCAAATTATAAGTACAGAAAAGGCTCCATGGGGAATGAAGGGTGCCGGTTAATCAAATTTGCTGGTTATCTGAGACTTTCACTCATGGTTCACCACATTTCCCGAGTATGTAAAACTTTGCCAGAAAGTAACTAAGCCTGTGTTTTAACTTATGATATAACAAACAATGTACTCTTTTCACAGAGGTACTCACCAGTCATTTTGTCGAGCATTCTAAGTTGATTGGAGAGAAGCAGTGGGGCCATTTATCTGAAAGCGCCGTACGACGTGGCGACCGTCTTTGTCCGATGGCTTCTACCAAAAGGCCGCTCCGAGGCTGAGCGGCGTCCGCGTGATGGTTTATGCCCCTCGTTGTTGTGTCATGAGTTGTTGTTTTTGTTGTGCTTTCTCTGTAGAAGAAGGTGGTCGAGCAATTAAGAAAGGACCTGGTGAACAAGCAGCACCAGCGGCAGCACGGAACGAGCGGGGACGTGCAGCCGCATGCAACTGTACGCGATCGCGTTCCGCCGCACGCCGTTTTCACTCGCGCCCGCAATGCAATGCACACGAGCGTGCTCGTACACGTGCAAGTCGCACAGACGCACGCACACGCGCCTGACAATGTCGCAACCTTTCGATTGATAAAAAAAAATCATCAAGCGATTTTAATCACCAAGATCATCTTTTCTTAAGCGGGTGTCATTTTCTTGTACGAACGTTTGCTTTTCGTGCACCATTAAGTGAGGAAGTGTGGGGAGATTATTGGCTGGTGTAAGAAGTGACGTTTGGCAAACAAGGGAGACTAGGCACGTAGTTAGAATGGACTGAAATAATCATTGCAGGACGAGTTAGACTGTAAGTGGAAGACCTATATCTCGGCATCTTCACTTGGATTCTGAACTGGCAAAGTAATTTAAAGTGAAAGAGTGGGAATCAGCTGTGAGGATTGCCACTTTCCAGGTGTCAGCAAAGTCAACATATCTATACGGGCAGATTACTTAATGCCACTGTGCCTACAATGGACAACTTTTTCATTTTTACGATATATAACCATCATTGAATAATCGGAATGGGATGCAACCTCACTGGGTGGTTGTTATTTTAATTTTATCAGAGCCACAGTGGGCTAAATTGACCTAGGCTTCTTAAGATTTGGAACATTCTGCTCCACCAATTAGAGATTTGTCCAAGGTGTAGTTTTTTAAGAGCCACTCAAAATTAAGGTTTACTCAAAATAGTATTTTGCTCACGTGGGATAAGTAGTGATGATTCGGCCCGGGGAGACACGCGCGCCGCTTTGCCTTTGTACCGACGAACGTTTAAACTCAAGCCTTGAAGACGAACGAATGTCCCCCTTTTGCAGAAGATGGTGTCACGGCCACCTGTCGCGATCGCCATTCCGCTGGTAAAAGGCGGCTCCCACAACGCACAGCAGCAGCAGCAGCAGCCGCCACCACGGCCGGTCGCTCCGGTCGCCCCCGTCGCCCTTCTTGCTCCGGTTGCGCCCGTCGCTCCCGTCGCTCCCGTCGCGCCCGTGACCCCAGCGGCGGCGACGTTGCTAAGTAACGGGCAGAAGACCCCGCCGCGCGTAGAAGCGTCGGCGCAGACTCCTCCCGGCGTTCATGCCGCACCGCATAGGAGCAAGCAGGTGGGCACGAGCGCAGGCATGTGTTGAGTGCGAGAGCTATCCTCACTTGAGGCCGGTCTGAAATGGCGTGTGCAAACATTTATAGATTTCAGACATTTCACAACAACAACAAAAAGTGACTTAAACCGCCTATCTGCTCTAAACCCAGACTGGATTTCAATTAGGCACACTTCTCTTTCCACATTTGGCAGACATGTGACCCCTTCATTAATTTATCATGACCCAAGGCAATTTCGTTTAAAAAAAAGTTGTGGTGAATGTATTACCTGTGTGTGCACTGCTTGGATCATGTCACCCAATTACATACAATGAATTTAAGATCATCGATCTTTACATGAACGATTTGACGTTTGCATCATGAGCGTAAGAGTATATCTTTAAATCAATGCTTCATTACGTGCCTCATGTTAGCATATTCCTAGCGTCATTGGTAAACAGCTCCCGCTGGGAATGCTCAATAATCCTATACATCTACAATCATCACACTCTCTACCGTTTCCCTTCCTTACCCCTTGTTATTCGCGAGGGGTACTTGGTACGTTACGGAGATGCTTGCGAATAGCAAATTTCGCGGATAATGATATTGGCCGTAGCATCATCATAGTTTTATCACATCTCATCACTATATCTCATCACATGATCTCATCACTTTCTCGCATCACAGTCTCTCTCGTCGCCTTATCTCATCGCTTTCTCTCAATGCAGTCGTGTAGCGTTCCAGATGCAATTCACGAATATGAAGTTTGTGACTAACGAGGGAAATGCCGTTATGTTACGATTTTGGGTTTTTTTTTTCCCCCCACCCCCTTGGTTCACAGGCTCAGGTCGGTACTTCCCAGGTGCCTTTGCGAATTCCACAATTTCCGGCAGTGCAGAGACTCGTGGGTAAAAGTCTTGCCATACTTCCGGAGGTAATATTTTCAATTTCACAATCTGCGTTCATTTCATGCAGCGGTCATGACAAGTCAATTAGACGTGAGCTGGAATTGTATCACTGTGGTTATTGACATCTGAACCTCTTGGCAGTACCCCGGGGTACTATAGTTACCCCGGCTCTCGCATAATGTCCGTGATGCAGTCATTTTTAGTCTGTTGATGGTCGGCGATGCGGCAATCGACTCATCTTGACGAGCTGTACACGATGCACTATGGTGCGTCGTGCGTTCAGAGTTCCAGCGCTATCGTCCCCGCTGCGTTTCGAAATCACGGAGTGGCACTGATTTCGGATTGATTGGTACCCAGTCGCGGAGTTAAGTACACCCCTGGACAAAAGTGTCCCAGAAATAACATATTTGATTGCCTCAGCCAGTTTGTATAATTTGGTACCCCGGGGTATCGCCATAAGGATCATTATAACCTTGGATTATCCTTCGTTATCCAATTGACAAATTATTGTTTTTAATTTGCGGGTTTAGAAGTATTCACTGTGCTTTCACACACAAGGCTTAGGAGTTGCATGAAGTAGAGTTTATCAGTTTGTAGCGTGTTGAACAATCAAAGCACACATGAAAAATGTCCTGTCCAATATTTTGTTACATCCATTCTCGTGCGATCATTCACCCACCCCCTACTTTCACCTTTTTAATGGTCCGCAGATCAGACCCAAGCCCCTGGCTTCATCCCCCAGTGCCCAGGAGAGACCGCACTGCAATGGCAAGAGTGGCAGCGGGGCCCATGCGCGTGCGCTGCACGCTCACGTCGCCAACGGCACGGCTGGCACGACTATCAAGAGCGGCTCCTCTGTGGATGAGGCCAAGGTGTGTTTGTGTGTCTGTATCTTTTGTTTAGGGCTAGTGTAGCGGTTAGCGCACTGCGTTGCGGAACCTGCCTACCCGAGTTCGATTCCCGCTCACGGCCAACACCAGTGGCTATTATCTGAACCGGTTCTGAGCCTCCCCTCGGTCGACTCAGCCTCAAATGAGTTCCTGGTGCAGCGGTGTGTAATTATCGCCACTGGGGAGACAAAGGCGGTCGGGTGTGGTGCTGGCCACCCACCCTCTTTGTGTACTGTTCCGGCCTTCATAAGTGCTCGCTAACAGCACTTGCCCCAACAGTCTGTTGAGACTATAGGGGGGGCCTTTGTCTCTTTGTTATGGGCTTGTACATGCACATGCGTCTGTGTTCAAGTGCGTGTGTCAAGTTAAAGAGTTTCACGTGAAACATTTAACGTTTTTTTATAACAGAATATTTGTTTGTAGTGGAGCAATCCGATAAGCTATAAAGCGCTTTCACAGATGTCGAGTAGGGGCACAGGGGTAGAATGTTACAACAACAAGAAATACAAAAACACGATAGGAGTGCAAAGTGTAGGAAAACTGAGGAAATAACACACACCAAATTCATATCAAACAAAACAATTTCTCTTTTACCAAATAATACCCCCATGAGCTATTAGCTTATTTTTCACAAGTGACCTGGCCACAAATGAAGGCTCAACGAAGTGGCTTATCACGTGGAAATTTACAACAGTCAAATACTCGGAACGCACACCGATTCTAAATGCGGAATGGAAAAACCGGAGGACCCGGAGAAAAATCCATGTGACCCGGTGAACCCGGTTTGGGCGTTTTCGGTCAGCGCAGTGCACCGTGATCTCCCTCACTTTGGTTTCATTCCTCACCGTTCATACTCCCTGCTTTGGTTTCTGCTTGAAAGCGCGGCTCTGCTGGTCCCGAAGCGATCCCATTTGGCATTCCAAGATCAGCTCGAGTGTGCAGATCCGCGAGGCTCTGAAATTTCACCCCCCCCCCCCCCCCCCCCGCTTCATCCACCTGCTATTTTGTTTTGAACAAAGCCAAATGCGGGCTCGGATTAGTATCGGCTTATTAAGGAACAACATCTTGGTTATTTTACTTTCCCACTATGCCACTTTTAACATAAACGTGGTCGTGCAGTTGATCTTCCCATATATACGAAAGGTGAGTTTAAAATATCGTCAACAGGGCAATTTATTTATTTATTAATTGTACTTGTGCACCAGTGCCAACGGAGCATCAATCAGAAAACGTGTCGCCGTACCTGTGCCTGATGTTACGACTGGTTCCGAGTTTCGGCCCAGGTTGAAGCGTGCAGCCTCCCCTATGAAATGCAGCGTTTTAGCGGGCCTGCTTCGAGGGCTCACGCGTTGTGTCCAGTTGGGCCACAGGGGCTGCTGTGGGGGAGCCTGGGCCAAGTCAGAGTTGAGTTTTAGTCTGTTCAGTTTATTGAGCCAGTTGGCCAGGATTGGGAAAACTTAGCCCCCATTTTTCACCCAGGCAGCTGGAGAGCAGCACAGACGTAAGTGCATCTAGCCTAACATTAAGACTAACAATAACGAATTTAAGAAATCGCAGTTAAGAAACAAACAACGTATACAGTATTAAAAAGAAGAATGAAAAAAAGGCTTCCCAGTGAGCATGCAAATGCAGCACTTGTTCGTGTGTGTGTGCCAATATCAAGAGGTGTTTTCCAACAGTTGACTATGCTGACAGTCTGTTTACAAGGTTTAATGTTTCTTATGTTACGTGTAAGATGATGTATTTAATTTAAGATGTTATGTTTCAGCAATAGTATAGTTGCACAACATTAATTACAACCACGTAGTTTTTAATTCTAATTCATGTACACCACATTGGCAATTGATTCCTGAACCTGGTTCCATCCTTTCTTTGGGTGAATTGGCTTTATATAACCTGTGATCAGTGTCGACACAATTTAGACAATACTGCCGGGCATGGCTTTTAGCCACACAAATCCATGTGGGCTGTGCCAGCCTTAAGTGTCTTTCGAGGATCTGTCGAGCTAAATTGGAAGTCTCTGTGTACCTGTGTTTTCTTTTGTAAAAGCAGTACAAGTGGAATGTAATGTAATTATGTACAACAGGATATTATTATTTACTTACAGAAAGTGAAACGTTGCTTTGATACCAAATTCGTTTGACTGCATAAAAACAGTCTTTTTATACGTGATTTATTTTTGTTTAAATCACACGCACACACACTGCAGTTTACAGGAAGCAATGCGAGACGATGTGCGTGTCGGGAAATTAGCAGAAAACTGCGGACGGGACATTCTAAGGAGAACTCGGCAGGGATAGACAACCAAAACACCTGCACAGGAGTGGAAGCGTCTGTGGCAGAGACGGCCAGCACATTGGTGATACCGTCTGGAATTCCGACGTTGGTGTTGGGGGGGGGGGAACTAAAAGAGGTGCCAAATTCCATTTTACCTACGTGACTTTACCAAATAGAACCAAAGAGTATGGATCCTTGCAGTCACGAAAGCTTCAAATCTAGAAATTCCATCATGTGCAGATTAACAAGTGGCTCGGAGAGGAAGGCAGTGTTCACTGGGTTTTGGAAGCTCTGTGGTGAGGTTCCACAAGAGATCACATTGGACAGGGTCGCAGGAGTAACTTGGGCGATTCTAATGAGCACAACATTTAATGTGTTTCTCTTTTGAATTGGAACTTTGCGACGGAGATTGAATGCGTGCCTGCATCTGTGAACGCATGATTATGTGACCGAGTGTGCTGGTGCTAGAAAATGCGCGTAAATTGACAGCTGTGTTATTGCCAGAAGGGGGTAAAGCCTTTTCTTCTTTATACAGTGAGGGAAAAAAGTGTTTGATCCCCTGCTGACAAAGAAATGATCAGTCTATAATTTTAATGGTAGGTTTATTTGAACAGTGAGAGACAGAATAACAACAAGAAAATCCAGAAAAACGCATGTCAAAAATGTTATAAATTGATTTGCATTGTAATGAGGGAAATAAGTATTTGACCCCCTCTCAATCAGAAAGATTTCTGGCTCCCAGGTGTCTTTTATACAGGTAACGAGCTGAGATTAAGAACATACTCTTAAAGGGAGTGCTCCTAATCTCAGCTTGTTACCTGTATAAAAGACACCTGTCCACAGAAGCAATCAATCAATCAGATTCCAAACTCTCCACCATGGCCAAGACCAAAGAGCTCTCCAAGGATGTCAGGGAGAAGATTGTAGACCTACACAAGGCTGGAATGGGCTACAAGACCATTGCCAAGCAGCTTGGTGAGAAGGTGACAACAGTTGGTGCGATTATTCGCAAACAGAAGAAACACAAGATAACTGTCATTCTCCCTCGGCCTGGGGCTCCATGCAAGATCTCACCTCGTGGAGTTGCAATGATCATGAGAACGGTGAGGAATCAGCCCAGAACTACACGGGAGGATCTTGTCAATGATCTCAAGGCAGCTGGGACCATAGTCACCAAGAAAACAATTGGTAACACACTACGCCATGAAGGACTGAAATCCTGCAGCGTCCGCAAGGTCCCCCTGCTCAAGAAAGCACATATACATGCCCGTCTGAAGTTTGCCAATGAACATCTGAATGATTCAGAGGACAACTGGGTGAAAGTGGTGTGGTCAGATGAGACCAAAATGGAGCTCTTTGGCATCAACTCAACTCGCCGTGTTTGGAGGAGGAGGAATGGTGCCTATGACCCCAAGAACACCATCCCCACCGTCAAACATGGAGGTGGAAACATTATGCTTTGGGGGTGTTTTTTCTGCTAAGGGGACAGGACAACTTCACCGCATCAAAGGGACAATGGACGGGGCCATACACTGTCAAATCTTGGGTGAGAACCTCCTTCCCTCAGCCAGGGCATTGAAAATGGGTCGTGGATGGGTATTCCAGCATGACAATGACCCAAAACGCACAGCCAAGGCAATAAAGGAGTGATTCAAGAAGAAGCACATTAATGTCATGGAGTGGCCTCGCCAGTCTCCAGACCTTAATCCCATAGAAAATCTGTGGAGGGAGCTGAAGGTTCGAGTTGCCAAACGTCAGCCTCGAAACCTTAATGACTTGGAGAAGATCTGCAAAGAGGAGTGGGACAAAATCCCTCCTGAGATGTGTGCAAACCTGGTGGCCAACTACAAGAAACGTCTGACCTCTGTGATTGCCAACAAGGGTTTTGCCACCAAGTACTAAGTCATGTTTTGCAGAGGGGTCAAATACTTATTTCCCTCATTTAAATGCAAATCAATTTATAACATTTTTGACATGCGTTTTTCTGGATTTTTTGTTGTTATTCTGTCTCTAACTGTTCAAATAAACCTACCATTAAAATTATAGACTGATCCTTTCTTTGTCAGTGGGCAAACATACAAAATCAGCAGGGGATCAAATACTTTTTTCCCTCACTGTATATCAAACTGACAGCTGTTGTTGGAGTATTATGCATCCCAGCAACCAGGGTTGAATATTGGCCGTGACCAACACGAGTTTTGATGAAATTGCTGATTATGTGCCATATGGTCAACATCAGAACTGCTTTTTGTGCGTTCGTTTATTGTCCTTCCCCCGCACCTCCGATTAGCACGGTTGGCTACGTACAGTGCGAAAAAGGTTTAACATGTACACACACACACACAGACCATATTGGGGAGACTAAAGCATTGTACTAAAGAGAGAATATCCTTGTTTTCTTCTCCTTACCCTGTTTGAATATGTTTCGTGGCACGTGTGTGTGTGTGTGTGTGCGCGCGGGCGGGCATGAATGCCAGCAGCCCACGCCGACAAGAGTGCAGGTGGCCCCAGGAAGGGGGCGGCTGGATGGCTCCACCAACCACGGCCCGTCGCCCCATCACAGCATGAGCGGTCATGGCCGGTCGCCGCCGCCGCCGCCGCCGCACGGCATGGTCAATCACGCACGTTCCAGGATGTCGGACAGCGCCGAGGTGAAGACGAGAAACGTCTTTGGTGGTGTATCACGCAGCAGGCTTGTTATAAAAGACGAATTCTGCATCAGTTGCAGTGGGTGGCCGTGCCTTCGCAATCTGCAGCTCCCACGGTGTGGAATGCCAAATTAAATGTTTTCCACTATTTAAGTCCCTTTTTAAAAACCTATTTTTTTTTTTACTTTGGCTAGGGCTCCGTGGTGGCGAGATGTTTGCTTGCCTCGCCTGGTATACAGGAGAGCATGAGTTCAATCTTGACCCTGATGCCTGTATATTTGGAGTTTGCTCGTCTCTTTCTCTCCCCGTGGTCACATGGATGTTTATCCTGGTCCTCCATTTTTTCCCTCCACATTTAAAATCAACGTCTATTTTGACTTTGGCTGCGATAAAATTCTACACGATTAGCCACTCCGAGCTATAATTTGTGGCCAGGTCACTTTTTAAAAAGAGCTGCATAGCTCAATGTAATTTGCCCGTATTGAAACGGCCGTACACCATATAGACCTGAACTCGAATTCCCTGTACAAGAATACGGATAAACCGTATGGGTTGACAGGTATGACACTGTCGTCTGGCCAAAACTATTCACCATGCCATCTGGCAAGCTGTATTCTGCTGCAAAACGGGATTCCCGCAACGAAATCTGTGCCTGGCTTTGTTCTCCCATTCTTTGGCCTGCTACAGATACATTGCCTTGTACCACGAGTCGTGGACACATTCCACATCATGTTTGCTAGTCGTAGTCGATGTGTATGCTTGCGTTGTTGCATGTACACATGCTGCGCATTCATTGATATGCAGAATCAAAATATGTATTCATACTAGAGGAATCCGATGAGCTATAAAGCTCTTTTCCCACAGATGTCCAGTGGGGGCCCGGGGTCAGAACGTTACAACGAGAAACAAAAAAAGACGATAGTGCAAAGTATTGGAAAGGTAGGAAAATCACTAAATTATATTTTTATTTTACCAGATAAAGCCCACTGAGCTATTATATTCCTTTTCAGAAGCGACCTGGATTGAATGTTACGTGTGTAAGCATGCCTTAAGCATTCACACGTAACAGCCATGTGTATATGCATTCCTTACCAATACTCATACGTATGCATACGGTATGCATACATGTTGTTGGATTCATATGTATGTATGTATGTTGAACTTCTTCTTTCGCGCACCGTATGTAGCCAACCGTGCTAATTGGAGGTGTGCAGGAACACGTTGTGAAGAGGTTCAATGTTTGGTGTGTGACGCTTTGCCAAAGGACATCAGGGTCTCAACCTCAATTGAGATTTTAAACGTTCCTATTTAAGAATGTTTTCGCCTTATTTTATCCTTGGGCTCTTGCTCTCCTTTTACTATTATTATTAGAAATGTTAATTGCTAGCTTTTTATGCTTACCTATTTTTTTATGCGCTTTGCGTACAGCGCCCTCCGATCCACGGACGAAGAGCGCTATATTTGTACGAGTCTAATTTATTATTATTGATGCGCCGTGTTGATGATGTGCAGAAAGTTGCCTTCATGGTGGCTCTGGGTCTGGCCACACCTGAACACGTCGAGGGTAAGGGCTCCCAGAAAGCACGCTTGTCATTGTAGGCCTGCAGCACACACGCATGTCTACACACACGCAAAGATAAAAAGATCCCCCATATAGCCTTAACAGACTGTAGGGGCAAGTGCTGTTAGCGAGCACCTCACACACACACACGCATGTCTACACACACGCATGTCTACACACACACGCATGTCTACACACACTCACGTCTACACACACTCACGTCTACACACACTCACTCAATCTGTAATACACACGGCACATACGTCACATAGCCTTGTGCATGCTGTTTGTGAGCATCTAGGAATCCAGCGTTGATCTCACCCCTTGATTTCTTTTGGCGAATAACTGGAACTCCCCCTCAATGTGTGTATTGCTACCGCCGTGGCACGCGCATTGAGGTTTACCTCGACACTCTAATCATTACCAAATGATACGATAAAATATTCACGTGAATACCTGTGGTTATAGTTTCATTTGAGCCCGTTCAAACGGCTGTCTTTAGTTCTTTAACAATGGATAATAACGTTTACAGAAACCCTCTATTTCACAAATGTGCATTTTTGTATTCGAAGCCTATATATCCTATGGTGCAACAATGGAACTGTAGTGCACCCCAATTTGTATGTATGTATGTTGAACTTCGTTTGCACCGTAGATAGCCAACTGTGCTAATCAGAGGTGCGGGGGGAAGGACAACAAACTAAGCGCAACAAGCAGTTCTGATGTTCATATTCTTAGCTCTTTCGGTAAAGTCACGTTGAAGGGAAACAATAAAATAATAAAATATATATAAAACAATAAAAATTCTCACGACGTTTCGACCATAACACAAACGGTCGTCATCAGGCGTGTCGACACAGTAATTCATAAGAATATGAATTACTGCAGTCACGAAAGCTTTAAATCAAAATTTAGTTCTGATGTTGACCATGTGGCACATAATCAGCAATTGAAAGCACGCGATCCCGTGACCGCCTTGGTTCGATGGCCAGCCAAAAGCTGCTGCGAGGATGACCAGATATGAATGCAGCAACCTGCGTTCAATCTCCCCGGCCACGGCTAACACGAGGCCTTGCCCAATAACCAAACTAGTCCTGGGCCTATCCTTCACTAACTTACACTGACCAGCATGGTGAAGTATGGCCATACAGCGAAAATGACTGACGCCGAGTGGGTGAGGTCTTCTCACCCCCTTACTGAATTGGCATAGGGCTGTAACTTATTAGAAATCCTAGTGAGCTAACTCGGTTGCTTGAGGATCATATAACGAATTAGCAAAGTGTGCTATCTGCCATAAAGTGCAGGTAAATGCAATAGTGTCTTGGCTTAAATTTTTGTATTTCTTGAAATTCATTGCTTTACTTACACATTTTGTTTTGAGGTGACCTGTGACGACGCTGCCAAATGCCACGCTCGACTTCCTTGAAAGATGCCCTGTATATAAAAAGAAGAGAGACGCGCCAATAAAAAAATAAATAACACGCTCACTGTGTTGTGTGCTACGTGGCCAGAGCTGCAGAGCCGGCGACAGGAGAGGAAGCGACGGACGACGGCGAACCCCCTGTACAGCGGAGCGTACTACGAGCCCGAGGTGTGCACGCGCACACACACACGCACACACACGCACACACACGCACACACACACGCGCGCACACGCGCGCACCTGAGAACTCCACTGGCGCACGCATCACAGTGCACACCTGTCATGTGCACCATCGTACAAAGACGAAGATCCACCGTATAGCCTCTCTCTAGCAGGCTGTTGGCGAGAACCTATGAAGGCCGGCACGGCACACAAAGGGGCGTGGGTGGCCAGCACCATGCCCGGCCGCCTTTGTCTCCCAAGTGGCGATGTTTGCACGTCCCACCATGTACAAATTCGAGGCCGAGTGGACATAGGGGAAGCCCAGTACCGGTTCAGAGAATCGTCACTGGCGTTGGCCGTGAGCGTAAATCGAACTGGGTTCGCCATGTTAATTGCGCAGTGCACTCACGACTACACTACCATACCATCATACACACACATAAACACCTAAAAGCTTACCTTAGTGCATGTTTATGCACATACCTTGATGCACACTTATATGCCCACCTAGGTACATTTTGGTGCATACCAACAATCACAAGTGTGGTACTTATTGTATGCCCTGTTATTAGTACTCCTATGTGAAGGCCTTTCCGTGCCCTATTGGTCATGGGACCTGATTGACCATACTTCACCATGCTGGTCACTGCAGGTTGGTGAAGCGTGGCCCAGGACAGGTTCACTAATTTCTCATTGCTGGTATCAGCCATGGCTGGAAATGGAACCCGGGCTGCCGGGTTCATAGCACAGGGCACTCATCACTGCGCTGTGAACGCATGATTATGTGTAACGACGCCGACACACGTTCTTGCTTCACGAAGAGCCTCTATTGTGGACACCAACACTATTCCTAAGCCCGGACTTCGGTTCTTGGTGCACCAACTTTGTCTTCTTTCCAAGCGTCCCTTCCCCTCTTGCTGTCCCCTTTTATGTCCCACGAGCCCCCTTGCTCCAAGGTTTGTTCTCCCTATCTCCCCCGGCCAATCCCCGTCCTCCTCCTCCAACGGTGGTCAACCGTCTTCCCCCGACAGTCAACCCTCGTTTCCCGCCTTTGACGTTTTAATTTTTCTTACAGTCAGTTTAGTTCTCTGGCCATAACCAATCCTTTCTAAGGCCTCTCTGCACCAATCGGAGGCCTTTAACACACTTCCTGATTCTTCGTTTGCACACGCATCATGTCAGGTAAGTGGTCTGTCGTTTTCGGTCTTTACATATACACACACGCACACTCGTATACCATGCTGTGTACCTGCATGGGGAAAGCTGACACACACCTTGGTATGCACAGTGTTATACAAGCCTCTGAAAAAAAAATTCACACACACTCTCCCGCACCTGCGATTAACACGGTTACGTACGGTGCGAAATAAGTTCAACATACATAGATACATTTAGACACCTATACATACACTCCAATACATCATACACCCCATCTCTCATTTGTTTACCTTTCCTATACTTTGCACTCCGTGTTTTTGCATCGTTTGTTGTTGTAACTTTGCTGACCCCGTACCAATGACTGGACGTCTGTGAAAAAGTGCTTCACAGCTCATTGGATTCCTCCTCGTGCAGCGTAAAGCGAGATGCGTAACAAGGTGTGCGCGTGTGCTTGCAGTGCAAGCGCGGGGCAGCCAGCTACCTGAGCAGCAGCTCCTCCGCTCACCATACAACGAGGAGGCGAGGTGTTTGTCGCAGGCAGTCACTCGGCAACACCACCGCTTACACTGCGCAGAATCGCACAGGGTGACGGGGTGGTAGCTCTTGTGCTTCACGTGTGCGTCACGTGTTAACATCCTTTCCCATGTATGTCATCAAGGCCGTGCCAGACCACACCAAGTGAACACACAGTCCCTCAATAAAATTGCACATTGAAATTGAACTATCGATACATGGGTAAGGATCAAAGCTACAAATCGCATGCGCTGAATGTGGTTGTATCCAGCACTGATCTCCTGCTTCAAGAAATGCTTTTGAAGGAAGATTTAAGATGTTCAATGGTGGGGAAACAAGATCGTCCCAAAACGTTGTTGTTGCAACGGTAATACACAACCTGCCCCTTGGATTTGAGCCGAACCGATGTGCTTAGTGAGCCTAACAGTGGAGTTACGATTTTCCACGCAGCGTTCCGCTCTGCTCTTTATCGCATGCGATGATCGTCGGCGGTAAACGGTGCAAACGTAGTGCAGAGTGTCGCCTGCGAGTCATCAGAATCGCAGATTTTTTGTGACGTGGAAACGTTTTTTTCTCTCAGAAAGTGCTTTTAATATAATTGAGGTTTTTTGGGGTTAGATCGCGTAACTATATAAATGTTGTGTCGTTAAACCCGCCACCACCCGACACAGCCAACTAGTAAGGGTTGTCACGTAAACAGAACGTGCCAATTCGTCACTAGTACAGCACACCGGTGTGTTGGAGAGCCAAGCCACAACATTTACAATCCGAGTACGACGTTTCGGCAGTAATTACAACTAGCTTCATCAGGCGACAGCCAGATTTGTGGAGAAGTCCTCCACCTGTTTCGTTCATTATTTGGAGGCGTAGATGTGCTGACCACACTTCTGCACTCTTGCGCAAAGTTTGGGGGAGGGGGGGGTGGGTTTAATGCTTTTCATATCATTAGTCATAGTATGAATTCTTACACAGCGGTACTGGTCAGTAAATGTGGGATTTTGACTTCCCTGCGATCCATTTCACAACTCGACAAAGTGTAATGCCTCCTCCGTAATAGACCGTGCCTTGGTACAGCTTCTATTGAGCAATAACTTGCCCAAGGACTGCGGAACGTATTGTCCTATGTAATTCGGCGGTATTGCGAATACAACAGCGGGATACGGTATTCTTTACGTACATATTGCGTTTATATTAATGAGTGATGGAGACAATAACCGTTACACTCATAGTCATCTTATTACCATACAGAAAATTTATATTTGAATTGCATGTATCGCCTAGCTGTAGGTTAAAGTAATATAAGCCTTGGGGGAGCCGTATTAACTTTTTTTTAAAGACTATTTTACATACGGCAACTGTCATCTTAATTACTGCGATAACTTCAGGCTTAGCGAAAGCCCTCTGTTGCCTTCAGTGTCACACATTTTTTATTACACGAATGTACAAATGCGACAGTTTTTTTTCTCTCTTCTGTTACAGTTCCTGACGATCCTACGTGGCGGGTAAGTACCATTCAAAACTCACGAATGTTCCCGCTGTTCGAGACGTACAACAAACCAAGCTTAATACACAGCAAATATGTACAATGCACACGCACACAGCAAAGCTGCACTCCTTTTTTTCCAGAACATCCCGAATCGTGACAAAATTCTCTCCGACAAAGTTAATTTATATAGGTTTCTATATGCTTGGGCCATGCTCGTGTGCTACGCATGTGAAACTAAATTGTGTTTAGTTTGCAGTATATCTGCATGCCCATGCACACAAGCGCGTACATTGCATGCAGTGCGTGTGTGCATTGCCTCTGTCTCCCTATGTGCAATATGTGTGTACTCTCTTGCATGCAGGAATACATGCCCCGTGTACATATGTGCGGGTGCTTCCGTGTATGAGCGGTAGTGCAGCGGGTAGCGCTCCGAACCCGGCGACCGGAATCGGATTCCCGCTCACGGTCAACACTGGTGATAGCGATTAGCTGAACCGGTCCTGGGCCTCCCCTAGATCGACTCGGCCTGAAATGAATACTTGGTGCGGTGTGTCGTAAACATCGCCGCTGGAAAGACAAAGGCAGCCGGACGTGGTGCTGGACACTCGCCCCCTAGTGTGCCGTGCCGGCCTTCATAGGTGCTCACTAACAGCACTTTCCCCGACAGTCTGTTAAGGCTATACGGGGTGTCTTTGTCTTTCTTTTGTATGTAGAACCTCCGTGTGTGTTTGTGGCCAAAGGCGGATGAGCGCTAGCAGCGCCTGCCACAGCGGTTCATGAAAGAGGCTACGCTGGGGGATCTTTGTCTGTGTGCAGGCAGAGGCGGAGGAGTGCTGCTGTGTCTGCAAGCGGAGTGGGCTGCTCCTCACGTGCGACGCTTGCTCCGGCCTCTATCACCTCGAGTGCCTAGAGCCGCCCCTCAAGTCCACCCCACGCGGCGTCTGGTTCTGCCAAGAATGTCAGCAGCAGGCACGTGGCAGTCGCGGGGTGGGGGGGCGGGGGAGATGGGGGGGGAGATGGCGGGGGGGGGGTCGGCAGGAGGTCGTGTACCTCGAGCCTCGATCGGCTTCACTCGAAGACCGGGTTCAAGGCAACCGCTTGGGACCTAGGAGCCGCCGTACATGCCACCTGAGCCTTTGTGTGCGTGGTGGGTGGGGTCAGCGGTTCAAAATTCCCATTGCGAACCGTGCATGGTGACCCCCTTTGTCTGTGATCCGCGTGCAGAATCTCGCGTGCGCGATGATAGCCCCGTACGAGTCGTGCGTATGCAATTCCCCCAGCCTTGTCTAAATCGCCACCAGCTCGCGTGGACGTATCCTTGCGATGCGGTGGTTGCAGCACGCCAGCGTGTTGTTAAACATTCGTTTCCAGCCTTACACGCTTATTCCTGTTGCTTTGGATTTGGTTGAAATAAGGGCAGCGAATCGTCAAGCGTTACCGATTGGAGGATCACCTATTTGACACACGCCTCGTATTCAAGACATTGTATGTGATTTAGCGCGGCACACGAATGCACGTGTGTGTGTGTGAGACTTGCACCGTGCGTGTGCACGCCTGGTCCGTGTGTGTGTATAGGGGAGCGGTAGTGTAGCGGTTAGCGCGCTGCCCTATGAACCCGGCGACCCGGGATCGATTCCCGCTCACGGTCAACATCAGTGACGATTATCTGAATTGGTCCTTGGGCCTCCCCTCGGTCGACTCGGCCTAACATGAGTACCTCGTCCGGTGTGTAAACATCGCCACTGGGGAGACAAAGGCGGCCGGGGCGTGGTGCTGGCCGCCCACCCCCTCGTAGTGCCATGCCGGCCTTCATAGGTGCTCGCTAACAGCGCTCGCCCCAACAGTCTGTTAATGGCTACGAGGGGGATCTTTGTCTTTGCGTGCGTGTGATGCGCGCACCTCCGCGTGCGGCATTGCAGGGCTTTAAGAAGGACGACGCCATGCTGTGGCCGGAGACCCTGGCAGTGGTGCACGCGTACATCGCGCAGAAAACCAGTGAGCTCCTGGCCATCGCACTCGCATCGCTCGGTGTCCAACGCCACATTTCCACCTCTGCCACTGAGCCTCGTGACTTTAGGCTTTTCACAGCCGCATTCGAGCACGCACAAACGCCGTCACCGTCGGGTGTGTACACCTCTACATGCGTGTGTGTGTGTGTGCGCTTGTGCTGCTGTGTGTGCCCTCTGCTGCTGCCGCCGCCGCCGCCGCTACTACCACGACCGCTGTTGCTGCTGTTGCCGCCACTGCCGCCGCTGCTTCTACTGCCGCTGCTTCTGCTACCGCCGCTGCTTCTATTACTGCTTCTGCTGCCGCCGCTGCTTCTGCTACCGCCGCTGCTTCTGCTACCGCCGCTGCTTCTGCTGCCGCCGCCCGTGTTTCCCCGGTGCCCCGCGAAGCTAAAGAGGAGGAGCGCCGTCGCCTGCTCAAGCGCTCGGCCGAGCTGCGGTGCCAGTGCGAGGCGACGGAGGGACGCGTCTCCACCGTGGGACTGCTCATCACGGTGCGCGCTCCCACGAGCTCCCCGCGGCACACGCGCGCACACAAAGACAAAGATCCCCCGTGTAGCCTTAACAGATTGTTGGGGCAAGTGCTGTTAGCGAGCACCTGTGAAGGCCGGCACGGCACACGAGGGGATGGGTTGGCCAGCACCGCGCCCGGCCACCTTTTGGAGATGTTCTATAAATTAATATTGCGATGCGTTTCCACGATGTTGTCATCTCATCCTGTTTCTCTCCTCTGTCATGTTTCTCTCCAGCCCTTGGATTCCCTCCTATCTCCCTCGTGTCACGTTTTCAATCTCTCACTCTTGCCCCCTTGTCCTCTTTCATCCCTCATCAAATTGACATCTGAAAGCTTTAGAAGTTGTTCATGCCTCTTCAAAAATCCTCAAAAAAATCTGAATCTTTATTTAGAAAGCAGGAGGAATCCCAGGAGCTATAAAGCTCTTTTTTTTTCCCCGAATGTCCAGTAGGGGCGGGTCATAAAGTTACGACAACAAATGAGTTCCTGGTGCAGCGGTGTGTAATTATCGCCACTGGGGAGACAAAGGCGGTCGGGCGTGGTGCTGGGCACCCACCGCCTTGTGTACTGTTCCGGCCTTCATAAGTGCTCGCTAACAGCACTTGCCCCAACAGTCTGTTGAGGCTATGGGGGGGGGGTTGTCTCTTTGTTTATGGCTTATACATGCACATGCGTCTGCGTTCAAGTGCATGTGTCGAGTTAAAGAGTTTCACGTGTCACATTTCTATTTTTTTAATCAGAATATCTGTACTGGAGCAATCCGATAAGCTATAAAGCTCTTTCACAGATGTCCATTAAGGGCAGATCAAAAAGTTACGACAACAAACAGCACAAAAACATCGATAGGAGTGCAAAGTATAGGAAAGGTAAACTAATCACAAAAAAACCTCTTATTTTACCAAATAAAGCCCACTGAGCTATTAGCTTCTTTTTTAGAAGCAATTTGGCGACGAATTATCGTGGCTTATCAGTTGTAAATTTATCGCGGCCAAATGGTATATGTAATCTAAACGCATGTTTCTAAATGTGGAGGGGAAAAAACCGGAGCACCCGGGGGACAAAAAATCCACGCGACCACGGGGTGAACCGTCACCACTTAAAATATTCACCAGTGTTGAAACCCCCATCGCTTCTCAAAACACTCCCATCTCTTCTCAACCCTCATTACTTTGTCATCTTGTTGTGACAGACACGGCATCCCATGTGACTTCGGTATTATAATCCTTAAGTGATCATAACTAAGACCTATTCTGTAGTTTTCCCACTGTTGAGTGGATCTGTGGCCGCATCGCCATTTTTGCCGATGAGAATGTGCCCTATCACGCCTTAGTTTCTTTTTCCCCGCACTGCCTCGCACCGGAACGCTCTTAAACAAAACCACCGCTCGGGATCACAAGTACCCAACGGTGCTCTTGCCCACCTCCCCGTGCGCAGAAAAGCGTCGAGAGCCGCAGCGATCTCGTCGCCAAGGAGGACCAGAGCCGCACGTCGCTGGAGAGGCTACGGACGCTGCTGGCTCTCGTTCAGGACTCGCGCTCCGCGGCGGCCGCCACCACGCTGGTGTCTCTGTGACGTACTGGAGCTGCGCGGACGCGCGCGTCCGCACGCACGCACCAGACGTGAATTCACAAATGTCGGAGGCACGCACACTCGGGTAACACTTGCACAGACACTCGTGCACACGGTTCTCTTACAGTTACAGTTAGGGTATACACGCGTGCGTGCGTGCGTCGGCGCGCTCGCAGTCCACGCACACGTGAGCGAGCTCGCAGTTACGTGGGCGCGCAGGTGTGGGCGGCACAGGTGTACTCGCGCAGGTGTACTCGCACAGGAATGCTTGCAACGGGCACGCCTACACAAGACACCCACGTGAATACATACAAACAACCATGCTCACTCGGGCGTGCTTTGTGTAGTCACATGTGAGCACGTGCACAGGCGCTCCCACGCACGCATGCATGAAAACGCTTGTACATATACACACACACACACGCGCGCGCATGGGCACAAAACAAAGATCCCCCGTATCGCCTGAACAGACTTTTGGGGCAATTGCTGTGAGCGAGCACCTATGAAGGCTGGCATGGCAGGGGGTGGGTGGCCAGCACCGCGCCCGACCACCTTCGTCTCCCCAGTGGCGATGTCTACACACCGCACCAGGTTCTCATTTGAGGCTGAGGTGGTGGCCTAGGTGAGGCTCGGGACCGGTTCAGATAATCGTCACCGGTGTTGGTGGCCGTGAGCGGGAATCGAACTCGGGTGGCCGGGTTCGTAGCACGGCACGCTCACCGCCAGCGCCAACGCTCCCCACACGGGCACGCACGCACGGGTACGCACACGCGTTCACACACGCGTTCACACACGCGTTCACACACGCGTTCACACACGCGTTCACACACGCGTTCACACACGCGTCCACACACGCACGGTCGCACATGCGTCGGAGTGCGGTAACACCCGGCACGCACGCTTGCTCGCGTTGGGAAGGGCGCGAGCAAAGGCACGCCCCCCCAGGTGTGTGCTTGGTCTGTGAAGAGATGCAAAAAAAAAGTTTTAAAAAATCCTCACAAAAATATATCCACCCAGTAGAAAGGGGGGTGGCATTTGATGTCATCGTTATTTTACAAAGAGCTATTTCTATGAAGACACAAGTGTTAAAAATTACGAGATGGAGAGTTTAGAACAAACCGGTGGGGGGAGACGAAATGCATTATCACACATTTTATATATACACAGACACGTGTAGCTATGTACAAAATCGAAACGCTTGATTTAAAAAAAAGGTAATTTTTTTGTGGTGGAAGGCAGAAACACTTATAAATTATTGATTATTTATGGGTCTTATTTATTAGTGGGTTTTTTTTACGTAACTTGATTTATTGTTCTCCGTGATGGTGCTTTACATGAAACAACTATGAAAGATAATTTTTATTTTTTACATTTTTAGCATTTTGCATGGGAAAGGGGAAGGTGGGGGCAGGGGTTCGGATTTAACGGCCGAGAGAGAGAGAGGGTGGGTGGAATTTATTAATGACCTAATAATAATACATTGTTGCCATAGATACAGAATTAAGTTGCTGTTAGTGTGAATATGAAATCTGCTGAAAAAAGTCCCACTGCAGACTTGCAAAAAAACTGCTTTAAATATAATATTAATGTAGTAAAAACCCCTCCCAGTAATGAGGGGCAAGCCTCTTACCCCAAGTAGGTGAGTGAACCTAGGCAGGGAGAGTCACCAGTGTTACGTGAGCTGCGGTGTGATTGGCGCCCCGACGTGCATTGTTCCGGCCGGTCGCGTTTGTCGGACACGGTGCCATCAGGGTGGCGATGGGCTGCGGCAAGACGGAGGCGAGAGGGTGTGTGTAGTTATTGACGTTATTAATATTACTATACGATTAATATTTCACGTTTTGATATTTTTTGTTTCCCAGCCCCCTTCTCCCCTCCCCCTGACAAAAATGGCTCCGGAGAACAAAATGACTGAAAAAAAGTAACAAGAAGCTGTGCCCTTGTAACCGTCCGCATTAAAGGTTGCACGGAACGCGAACAAAAACGACAAAAAACTACAAATGCAAACGTATGTTTTCCTCGTACGTCTTTGTTACGTTTATTTATAACGCAGTGTTTCAATTTTGTTGTTGTTGGTATTTATGCTGCTACTCCACACGCTGGGCGGTGCGTTAAGCACGCCGGGCCACGGAGGTGACCATATCATGGATTGTTTCAATGCTCGTGATATCTGGGGGGGGCGGGGGGGGGTTAATCGATTGTTGTGATGGAGCAAATATCTGTTTGGTTAAGCCACCAACGCCCACCCCTCCGTTTGGCTTGCCCACCACCCCATCTTTATACCACGGTTACGTTTCCACAACGACAGGCAGCTACCACTCGGATGAGCCACGGCGATGGTACACGCTGCTCGTGACAAAGAGGCAATCGTCACGTTAAGCCCTTTCCCGTTCCGATGACGTCTGCGAGTTTCAGGGCGGGGGGTCCCGTTGACCGCCGAATCTCGGAACGTGCGAGTGGCTCAGCGTTAACTTTCTTTAGGGAGGCGTAGTAGCGCCGTTGTGTTTAAAGACGTCGTTACTCACCGCAGAAAACCGTAGCGACACGACCGCCTGAGTCTACGATTGCCGGCGCCAAACTGTGCCGCACGCCCTCCTGCATCGCCTTGTGGGAGCCTCGGTAACGATAAAGTTATTTTATTTAAGCTTTTTATTCCGATTTTTTTTCCCCCCCACGTACGTCATCGGAAAAGAAACGGACGTGCACGCGTGCGTACGTGCACCCGTGCGGACGTGCGCGCGTGTACGTCCGCACGCGTGCACGTACGCACGCGTGCACGTCCGCACGCGTGCGTACGTGCACGCGTGCGGACGTGCGCGCGTGCGGACGTCCACACGCGTGCGGATGTACACGCGTTGCGTTCTCGGAATGGGAAAGGGTTATCATCGTAGTTCTGAAGCATACTTTTGAGGCGTGATGGAAGTCGAAGGGAAACGCAGGGCATGTACACCACCTCATCTACGGAAGATCTCGTCTCCGTTGCTTGGATCTAATGCACGGTCTGAGTAATGGGCATCCAAGTACCGGCGTTGTTTTGGGAGGTCTCGTGTCATGGCTTGAGTTGAGCGCTGCTTTGCCGAGTCACCTTCTTTTTTGCTGCCACCCCAATTTTAGTTGTTTGTTTTTTTAATTCCCTCCAGGAAAGCCTTAACAAAAGTGTACATGAGTTTTCGAAAGGGGGGAGACCCTTTGCTTGGCGATGCCCAGGTCACAGTTACATTTTAGGTACGTCTTTCTTTTTAACAAACATGACAAAACGTGGAAAAATTGGTGAAAGTTCATCACGTGCGCACGGGAAGGGGGGAGTTCTGTAAAACCAACGCGTTCGCTCGCTATCCTACCGACAGGCTGCAGGTGTCTCTGCGCTCCGTCGCCCGCTTCCGAGGTTCCGCATTGCAGGAATTCTCCACCGTGCGGCTGGAATTTATCGGCACGCTTGTGTTACAGTTCTAAGTTAGGGTACCATGCAGGGATAATTCACACACGCGTGGGATCAATATAGTCTGCATTTTACCGAGCAGCTGTTGTTGAACAGTTTGACAGAGAAAGGGGGGGGGTGTTTGTGTTCGATACGAAATGCCTCGTTCTTCCCAGCCGTAGGAGAGGAAACATCCCGATACATCGTACACGCCGTCAATGCAACTGCGTGTTGGATGTAGATACAAGATGACTAAACAACTCGGACTCGATCCGAGGTTCATCTCTAGAACCAGCGTTAAAACAAAATGAAAATGATTGAACGTGAACTGGCTTCAGGATGCATCTTGAAGCATCTGTAACGTGACACTTGTTTCAATACACGCAATCTTGTCCCTCTCTAAAACATACATTTTGTCTGTAAAATAAAAGTATTGTGGCCAAACAATTATCAAATTGGTTTGAACGTTCAAGAAAAGGTTTTCAAAATGTTTAACCCAGCCAAAAAAAGTGTGTACATTTTGCTACTTATAAATCTGCAGCCAATTTGCTTGCAGGGTTTTAAATTGGACTTCACACCTAGCGATGCCATTCATTAAGACTTCGGTTGGGGGGTGTCGAAGGTGGCCATCGTCTGAGACGAATCCTCCCCCCCTCCTTTGGGGTCCACGCTTGGGCCAGACGTGTCTGATTATTCCCACTCGGCGAGAGCGCGGATAGCGAGGCAGTGGAACGGGCAGCCATTGCGGACCATTGTGCAGGCACGGCCCCATTCACGTGATTCAGAAAGGTCAAAAAGAGCGTGGTGGTCGGCGTCCATCAGTCCACGTTCGTGTGAGCCCAACACGCAGGTTCCATAAGTGGGGGTGCGTACTTAGCAAATGACGCCTCTTGGAACTCTGTTTAGATCGGTTGCCATTCGGCGCACTGGATAGAAGAGGTCATTGAGGAGTGGAAGGACGGCATGGGGGGGGAGCCTTTTCCCAACGAACTCGGCGAAGAAAGACGGAATAGGTGAAAATTGTTGCCAACGTTATAAAAGATGACTTATTTTTTATTGTGGAGACACTTATGTAATGCGATTGTAATTGCATGCAAACTCATCGTGCGTTGCAGTGGAGCATTATGGGTAAGAGCAGTTGTAAGCAGAACTCAATTCTATCTCCACATACACGTAAAAAAAATATATAGTTTGTCTATTAGCCTATCAGCTTTCCAGACCAATAGTATGAACAATATTTGTTTAAGCAAGCGAACTCTGGACCAGTTGTATGTTTTATTTCTATGGGGGTGCGGGAGGGGGGGGGAATTATAATCGTCACTGAAAAATATATTCTGGGTTTGTTGACCAAGTGTGGGCACGGCTTCCCCAATCAAACAACAGAGACAGGTTGGAAGCTTGTGCTGTGTGTCAAGCGGGAAGGCGTTATGCCTGCAGTGTCAGCTGTGACTTCAAGTTGTTCGTCGCGTGGACCGAGTGAGAAAGGGCCTGGGTACTTGGGAACTGGCAAGTGGTGGGCGGGGGAGGGGGGGAAGAAGCCAGCGCTTGGCTGGTTGGCGCACGGTGTTTTGGTTTTGTTTGTTGTCCTTGCCCCCCCGCCCCCACACCTCCGATTCGCACGGTTGGCTACGTACGGTGCGAAAGAAGTTCAACATACGTACGTACACGTAGAGGGCACTTCACGTTGAGGACTCGGCGTCTCTCGCTGATCAACTCGAAGGTTTCTCGTCTTAAAGGAGGGGTCACCCAAGATGCGTTTACGTTTGGTCTCTGTTATTAGAATCCGTTGATGCAAAAAGAAGCAGATGGAATTAATTTACTTGCTTGTCAAGTTCAACGAGCAAAACAATACTCCGATAACGAGCTGCGCATTGTCAAATAGATGAAGTGTAATGTGGTTCCTCTGACTCGGCTTGAAGGTGCATGGAGAAAGAAGGTTGCCTTACTGAGAGCAGCTGTAGGATGCAATGATAGCAGTAAAAGCAAGTCATAAACATAATGTTTAGTTTTTATGGGGTGATTCTCTCCCCTTTGCATAAATCATTCTTTGTCACGACAAACGTGGAATGCCA